CTTTCAACGTAACGCATTTTCTTCATTATATTTGTTCTCTGCTAAATTAAGTATGGCCTTCTCCTCCATTTCTCCAACTTCTGATCTAGTTTTAGGTTGTATTTGTTTTTCTCCATTTATCTTTCTAATACAAAGACACAAAAATTCAATGTGACTCAACAGAGAAATTGCTTTTTCATTCATATTGCATACGACCTAAATAGATTGTAATTCTTGTCTATCCTACTTAGTAATAAAAGTTTACATTAATTATTATTTTTCTCCCTCATCTATGATCCAAAGTTCAGTCCTTATGACTTCTGTTTTAAAAGATAGGGTAGCATAGAGTACTTTAATCTGATACTGCTTTTTCATTCAGTTTCTAAGTTCTTGATACAGGATGTTCCAGAGACAGTTACTTTATATATTAATTTTATATATTCAACACTTTCTTCACGCTGTTCACCTTAGCTTACACTTCACAGCATGAGCCGTAGTGATGGGTTATGTAACTCTCAGTTTATCCTATTGCCTTCCCAGTTGATTACAATACGGATTCTATTTTCACCAAGTCAAGACCATTTCCTAAGTCCTCAGTAGCTGTCAACAAGACTTCTCTGCAGAAAACGAATCGGATTAAGAACATTAGCAATGGTCTATTACATGAATCTGAACAATATAAAACTAATTCCTGGTAGCTAATATTCCATATAAACAGGGATGCTTGCCAAGCCATAAATGTGCATTATTTAAGTTCTTCAAGCTACATTTGAAATATAAGATGCTTTAATTATTGCCTTATTACTGTCTAGTATTTCATCAGTTCAGTTTGAAATTATTTATTTCCTTATGATAATATGAAAACAGTATTCCAAGTCTTATCAATATTTTGTCTTAATATTTAGTTTGGTATATTTCATTTGTAACAATAAACATCAGTTAAGCTTTGAACATACTGAGGATCTCCAAAGGCCTAATTTATTCTCTGTTCTGTTAAGAGTGTATTTAATTAAAGCTACTGATAACAGGGAGATGAGACAGTTACATCTCCACCGCGATGTCCAGGTATGGCAGAACACGAGTCTCAGCTTCGTGTAACAAGTCTCAGGTCTGCCCAAGACCCAGACTTTTTCCACAGTGAACCTGGATTCTTACCGTTCAGTAGCATTTTGTGGCGCTCTGACTTTTCACTTAAGGAAGTGCTGGTTTTGCTCTTTCCTTTGCATTATCCCTATTGTATCTCTGCTGTGATTATTTCCATTTTTTGGGGGGGGACCTGAGCCCCTCGAAGTACTTTTAACATATATTTATCATTCTGTGAATTTTCAAGGTCCCCGACAATGAATAACTTCTCTTGCCACAAACATTTGATGCAGTCACCTAATTTCAAGGCCAGCAATCCAGACCAAATTTATCTTGTTGCACAGACAAGAACTGGCAGTGACAACTTCAGAGGCTCGTCAGTTAATAAAGCTTTTCTTTTTGCAGATTTTGGGAATTCCCCTAGATTTCACTTGGGTTCCCACCTTAACAATGACAATGCCAGTTGCTTGTCTTCTCAAAGCGACTGTCAGTTTGAAAAGGTCACTGCTTGTAAAGCTAAAACTAGCTCTGAGGTGGCTCCACCATTTCAGAGGCAAGAGTATGCCAGCTCCTCTTCCTTTAAGGGCTTGCTTGGCACATTCTGGTATTCAGATTTGAAGGGTCCACTCCAGTCTGCAAGGGAGAAAGCAGATTCCAAGTACCCTGAGGTTACGGCAGGAAGAGGGATGCTCCAGGCATTGTTTCAGACATCCAGGGTTTGAGAACCTTTGTGTTTTCTACCTGATCTTGCTGTGCTTGGAGTGGAATTCAGCCAGGGCTAGTAACAAGAGGACATTTACTTTTGGGAGGGGAGGTGGTGGGCACATACTGGCTGTCAGAAGATGAAGGGTATTTCAGAGAATTGACTACTGTGACAGTTGGCCTGGGAACATTCCAGTCAGTACATTCTGTTTACTAACCTGAAAAACAAAGCAAAATGCCCCAAACCTGGATTATTAGCTTTAAAGAAATATTTTCCAATTTCTTACCTTGATAAGACAATGCAACAGTGCAGAATCAAACGACACAACACACACAACACAAAAGACAAACAAAACCCCCAGAAAAATACAGCACTCTTAAAAAGTAATTAAGTATGAGAAACACTTAAAGCTCTTTCATTTCTAATACCTCATGAAAGTTTTTACATCATCTTATCACACAAAGTTACAGAGAAATTAACACAAACATATGTGCAAAAATGCACAATCTATCAATGTTGACAAAGACTGGTCACCAGATTGACTTTATTCTGATTCTAGTTTTGAACACACATGTAAACAACAATTATGAAACAATTTTAAGCAGAAAAATATCATTGAGTTTTTACAGATATTTTAAAATTTCTTCCACTACCATTTTGATAGAAAAAAAGACAGGAACAAAAATATCTTCTAAATTTATGACTTTGAAAAGATGTTATATACAAGCAAACTTAGTAAAATGCCATGCAATAGGTTTCTTATATACACTTTTTTCCTGTATATCCTTTAAAACTGATATTTAACCCCCCCCTTTTATTTTTAAAAATACTTTTTATAAAAATAAAATACTTTGTTAAATTTAACTACAGTTTACTTTTTCCAGTGGAATTATATTTCCATTGCAAATATAACTAGCACACAGTAAACTATGCACTTCATGAATACCTGATCATTTCTATGGACAAGCACCATTTGCTGATACCAGCACTGCAGTCCTGATCCTGTTTCCACTGAAGCCAATGGCAAAACTCTTGTAAGCTTCAAAAGAAGTTAAAAAAAGCTCACTTTATTAACTATTCTGACATAATAATAATTAAAAAAAAAATATAGAAGTTTTGGTTCTTTACTGTTTGTTTTAATTGTCAGAAAAAGCAAATCCCAGATTTAGAATTTTGATTCAAGCCAAGCAAAATACACTACTATCACCTGTTTTTACATCTAAGCTCTGACTTGCTTTTCTTTTGCCTATACATAAAAAAGAAGAATAAATTTTCATTATTACATAACTACTATAAAAGCTAAGGTTATAAATGCTTTTAGCAAGAAACAGCATGCAAGCACTTTGCTTGCCATTTAGATAATGTCTTCAACGATAATGTCTTGTTCAAATACACATTGGTGATTTTTTTTCTTAAGATACAAAAAAGTTTGATACGCAAACTCTCAGTAAGAGCAAGCCATCGAAGCCAAATTTTGTTTTTAAATATGCCCTTGTCAAAGTCAAATTGAAGACAGCTATGGCTATTTCTTTGCATCTGAAAAATAACAATAACATTTTTATTCATACAAATATATGGTTTAAACAGCCATCAAAAAAGAAGAAATGGCTAACCATTTCCTACAGCTCCAACAGACATTCTGGAAGGCTCCAAGTTTGAAGCCACATACAACCCAACAAGCCTGTATTGATCGTCTTGCAATCAAGGTGGTCAAAAAGTCATTTATATAGTACTGAAGGAGCAACCTATGACTAGTCATGCAAGCAGTCCTGGTATGTAGAAGCTATTTAAATATGCAAATACAAAGGCAGTATCTGACTAAATGCTGCTTTAGCATCTCCTGGCAATTAGAAGTCTGGGGGTGGCCTTTCACAGTGCTTCACCTCAATGGCAAGTCTGATTTACTGCTTCCTCCATTACAGACAAACACACACACTCGTGAGAACACTTGAACACCCCAGCTTGAGTACAGAAGAATAGCTGCACATCTTTGTAAATAGTATCTGAAATCTTGCTACTTCGCAATAATAAATAATCAGAGACTTGTAAAAAGATGACATTTAGCATATATATATATAAAAAAAATAGCAGTGATCCATTACTAACTTAATATTCAACATTCAAAATAAGTCAAAACAGAATACCAGTAGCAGCAAAGTAAGTCAGGGTTTTAAAATATCTTGATATTAGCTAGAACCTTCTATCACCTACACTGGCACTGAATAATTGAAAAAAGCATGCATTTAAATAGCTTTTTAATTCACAGATGTTAGAACATATGAAGTGCATCTTAATACCCAGCTTTTTCAGCAACATAAAGACTGCAATAATGTCACCTTAAAACAAATAGCTATTTTTACTAAAAATCTATGAGCAGTCACTCCAGGTTTTGACATATTATACCAATAAAGAAGTGAAGCCAAAATTGCAGATGTATAAAAAGCTGATATATGTAAACTTCATATTCAGCTTCTGTTTGCAAACAGGTACTTATTCCTTACCTGCCTGCTGGGGAAGAAAGGAAGAAAAACAAACAACATTGCTAATTAGACTATCAGGAAACAAGATGTCACCATACACATCATTTTATTCCGGTCAAAGATAAGCAAGTCTGCTCCCATGATTTTTTTTTGTTTGTTTCTACTGAGTAAAGCTGAACAGAGACCGAACTTCCACTCTACTCTCAAATCAAGTTTAGAAATAAGATATATTGCTGTACTATCTGTAGGAAAACAAATGTAAAGACTCCCCCCTGCTCTGCCCTCCCCAGGCAGAACATTGCACCATGGCACTGCTGAAAAGTTGAAATGCTACTAAAGCAGTTAATACTACAAAGATAACATACATTCATTTAATGCACATCGGCATCAGCTATTACAATCTTAAAAGGGAATATGTTGAAGGGAAAACAAAGTGTGGTTAAAACCTGCAGGTAGAGCAATAAGAGCAGCAAATGTTTCCCCTCCTCTGAAGTGAAAACATATTTAAGAGTCTACTGAAAACATCTTTTAAAAAAAACAACCAACAACAACAAAAAAACCACCCCAAAAAACAAAAACCTCTCCCACAAAAAAAAAGCAATGACTTTGTCTTGGGCAAAGATGGCCTTGCCCTGGAAGCAGGGTGATATTTAAAAATTTATTTCTGATTATAAGTTGCTACTTATTGTAAAAACCAGTTTCTTCTTTTGGTTTTATCCAAAGGATTTGTGAGCCTGATAGGGTATGCTAGCAGTTTAAATAAACTTTTGCTTTCCTTGCCATTTTTAGCTTGTGGAGGCTGACACAAAACATTTACTAGAGCTTAATGGCTTGTTCTCTCATTGCTTTTCTTACAAACCATTCAAATGGAAAGTTGTTAAGTGTGCAGTTTGAATTCATAGGTGCTTGTTTTCCACTGGTTGACATCTGCATTGATCATGTTGCGCTCTGTGAATGTAACCCGTCCTTCCGAATCAATGAGAACGACTGTGTTAGTCCTGGAACAACATAAGGGTAGAAGGTTAAGCCTTGTGTCCGTTATAGAAATTTGCAGGCTCCCATCCCTCATCCCCAAAGGTTTTAGCTCATTTTTTTTTCTTTACCACATCACCACCGCAGCAGCAGGGCAGAAATCATCCTGGCAAGTTCAAATGGGCATTTTCAGCCCCTTCTACTGTCAGTCTACTGCTCCAATTCCCTGTTGCACTTGCAGCAGCTGACACGCAAAGCTGCTCATTTCCAGAGCGCGTGACAAAAGGTTAAACTTTTTTTAGTGCCAAGTCTTCCATTCAGAAGTAGCATAAACCCAAGTTTTTCTTCAGAACCTACACATACCCTGATGGGTTATTCATATCAATAGTACTCTTTCATTCTTTCCTTTCAAATCAATTGTCCATTAAGATTTAAACATTGTTAATTATTATCATAGGACACTGATACACGACCACAGAAAAACTTTTCTCTCTCTAGCAACCTTACAAAGAGGAAATTTGTTTTCATGAAAAGCAGATTCCATTCATGCATCTATGCCACTTTGTCATGTGTAAGCGGTCATCTCTCTAGGGACACTGCAGTACCCTGCCAGACGGAGGTGACTGACAGAAGTAGTTTTCCACCATCCTGATGTGGTGGCCCTCCCCAGGTCATTTCACAGTTTTTCACTCATATAAAAAAGTGCTTAATTTCCTCAGATGAATATGGTGAAGCCTAATTAACAATCTCTATTCACTAAGCCATGCTGCTAAGGGAAAAAATAAGTGTGAGCATACAATTATAGCAGCAGGGAAGACTTGAAATATAGCGTTAATTCACCAGTAAGAGGTCAGTATTTCTACTGCGTTAACCCTGCTTCCTCTGAAATAGCTGGACTGCAACCTGTGGAGCCAGGGGAAGGAAATGCTTCTTTACCGTTTTAAGTCTTCATTATCCCATACTTAAAAAGTTTGAATACATTTTATAGAGATACTCAGTTTTTGCAGTGGTTTCTTTACCAGAATACCAATTTAAAATACTTACAGAAACGAGTGCTCTCTGCTTATCAATTTACATCTCTACATTGGAAATGCTATGGCTGACTATGCCAGAGACCAATCTGACAAAATCGTTGGCAGTTTTTTTAGAGTAGGAATTCCCTACCAGCAGCAACAGGGTTCACCTATAATTTTGTCCCATTGAGGATTAAATGCAAGATGCATTGCATTATTCCATGCTTCCTGCATCTTTGGTAGAACAGTCTGAGCAGAAAGCAAGAATATCTCAGTAAAAACAGCAGCATCAGTTAGGGGAAAAGTGGAAATATATGTTCTTTTGAGCAAGAGTAATAGGTTATTAATGTATGAAAATGGCAGCTACATATTACAGTGACATGCCTAAAGAAACCTCTAACTCAGCTATGCAGATGAAACTATTCTTGTTCTTGGAAGCTCTCTTGGAAGAGAAATGTGTTCTGCAGTTCCTCAGATACAGAAGACAATTGTGGTTTTCTGCTAAAAACATGATTTCAAAGCTTTTCATGTTTTGAGAAGATCAAAATTGGAGGTGGTCAGATCTGCTACTACACTGGGGAACCAGGAGAACCGTATTTTCTTGTTTTGGAGGAACTGAAGCTACATCACACTCCCCAAAGATGAACCATAACATGTGCTTAAAATGCTCATCAGTAGCAAATCTAAGACACCAGAATACTGAACCAGGAAATGCTGAGCAAGGAAATACTTTACTGAATTATACTTGATTAATATTTGAACAAGTTTAAAGCAGTCACTATAGAGTTAAAACTTACAGCAGCATAATTTTGATTTGAGATATGCTTTGATCCAGTACACATCTATTTGTGACTATGAATTTTTTACCTTGTTCCATAACCTGGGCAACGAACACATACAGCTGCGTACTTGTTCAATATAGGACGTATATAATCCTTCCCTTGGTCTTCAATCGCAGGGTCTGGTAATTGACTGAAAAAAAGCAGTAAAGTAATAAAAAAAATTAATTCTCCAATATTAATACATTCCTCCCTCTTGAACCAAGCTGTGTTGGCTAAGTGGTTGATAAATAAAAATCACTTTGTGAATTGTGTTCAAAACTGAAGTATGAGGAAAACGAAAGATAAAACAGCTTGTAAGCTCTTTCCCATAGAAATTCTTACAAGGTCTTTAACTTTTGTCTCACGTTAAGGAATTTTTTCATATCTTGACAAGTTTTTTGCTTTCCTTGTTATTCTTTGCCTTTCTGTATTTTAGTTTCTATTAAAACATTAATGATCAAGTCATTTGTGGCACATCACACAAACCAGCATTTTTCCAGTTAGACTCCAGGGGTTCTTTTTGTGTCAAAGAAAGCCCTCTCTGCTTCCTTTGATCTTGTTTGGAATTTTGGAAAATACCTAGGACAATCCTTAAAATAATATTGCAAAGATGCAGCGGAGGAGAAGGTGAGCTTGCGCCCAAGGTTCTTGACATATATTCCTATCAATGCTCAAAAGATATTTAGAAATATAATTATAAAGCATATCAAGCTTCTTTTATTATAATTAAACAAATATCAGCATCCCACAGAAGAGATGCTAAGGTCACAAAGGTTACTGCAGCAACCCTACGTCCCTGGCTTTCCATTCACGTCACCAGAGCATATTCTCAAATGCCAGCCATAAGCACAGCTTCCTATTTCAGTAATTAAAGATTCCAATTTTATTTATCAAAGTCCGATTTAACTATTATGATAGCAGGTTTTTGCATTTGATTTTTAAGCTTCTTCCACCTTCAAGAAAAAAATCCCATTTCTGCCTCCTAGCACAGACCCAGTTGTACCTATAAAATAATACTAATTCAGCAGCCTATCAGCTGCACAGTGAATGCTGGGGAAGAGGGCAGAACAAAACAGACTGATCAATTCAGCTCCATTTTCAGAGCTCATCCTGATCTGTAGAGGAGACACTGCAGTTTGTTATACTGTAACTGACCTTTACATCTAACTGGGATCATTTTCTTTGTTGTGGTGGAGAGGACCTGTGTGTGTTTCAGGGAGAAGCAATAGGTGCAATTTTAGTGTGAACAGAGCAACCGTGTTCCTCTCACTCCTGTGTTGGGCACGTGGCTGGGGCGTACCACGATGTAACAGAGGAGCACGGAGCAGGGCACTTCAGCCCGTGAGAGCTGTCAGCTTCTATCTCATACTCCACCACCAACCATTGTACCCACTTAATTCCTGTAAGGCACACAAAGGGATCATAAAGGAATATGCAACAACATATTTTAAGAAAGTTCAAAGCTAGTGCATATCCATGTGTTCATATTTATTATGAAAAGATCATTTCATCTTGAAGTGTGCTTTGGAAAGATTACAGTCTTGGTTTTAAATATTGCTTTTTGTAAGTAAACATTTCCATTTTATAGTCAGATGATTTCAGAGGAGATCATACTGAATTACTGAACATTAAAGAAAGATCATTTGGATTGTATTGTATCTTATACCTTTGTCTTTTTACTAGCAAAAGGTAAAGTATAACAATTTTTTTGAAAAATCACTTGATCTGGTATCAGATGAAAAAAGTAATTAAGACTGCTTAGCAGACTTCCCAATTACTACTCATTGCTCAGATGTCTGAGTTCTTATGTAAACATTTATTTTGAACCACTGAAAAATGCCACAGACATGAATGTTGGCATTAAAATTAGTCAGGATGAAGTTAGGAAACTGGATCTGTATACTAGAAACAGCTTTGCTTCAACACAGATCACCCCCTAGACAGGTAAAAGTCAGGCTAAATGTGGAAGTTACTGGATGGTGAGCAATGATACGAATTTAGACCACAGCACCTCCTTTACCCTGCTCCGTGTCTGGACATTTAAACGATATCAATTTCCTTTACTCCTAACCACCTAGCTCATGGGCTCAGGTTCACTGTGTAGCCAGTAGTGCGTGCAGGAACCTTACTTAGATACTCACACTCATCTCTTGGGAACTTCCTTGACCAGAGGCCTACAGCTGAACTGTGCAAATACTCCCCTATCTCCTTCCCCCATTTAGCCCAAAATAATTGCACTTTTGAGGAAGGCAGTTGGTTCTACTTCGAAAACAGCTTGCTTCTCCACCCTCTGCGTCTGCTCTGGGTAGCAATACAGAATAGCTAGCAGCTACTAACTCAAACCTGCTCACGTAAACAAGGGCTTACTCTGTGTGCAGTAAGAAACTGAACCTTACCCTCCAGCGGGCCTCCACAAAGCTTACAGCCGGCAACTTACACACCCCTTGTCTTGCACTCATTACCCTTACTAAGAGAAGTGCAATCTTTAAAAGGGCACAGAGAAATCAGTGTACAGTCTATGAGTACTAAGACTGCAGTAATAATGTTTACTGTGTCTGCTGCTTAAAAAAATCAATATTGTTGAAAGTCAGTCTCTATGGAGGAAAGAGCACTACTTTTGCCCTTCATTACCCAGCGTTAGTCAATTAATACAAGGCAAAAGTCTCTTTTCTGTCAAAATAGTTTCTACAGGCAATTTTTTAACCAGTCATATCACATTTCAAGGAAACTCTGGCTATCATATTCTTACGGGTCTTGATTATTCATCACTGTAAGAAGCTCCTGCACCAAGTCTTCTTTGGTAAGTTCTTGACTTCTCTTGACCACTTCTGTGAACAGCTGCTTCCCATACTGAAGTTTCTTCCATGGTGTATCCAACAAAGAATTACTCAATCCATATATTCCTATAGATACATAAAAAAAAAAAAAACAAACCCACCCAAACAACTTACTAAGCTCTGGAGCAAAGAAAATGAACTTATGTACTATGCAAAAAATAACTTCATGATTATCTTATCCCACACAGTCTGAGGGACAGAAACAAATGCTATCAGCAAATTCATCATGAATCTCTTACGATAATTTGCTTATTCATCCTATTGCCAGCTTTCATTTTGCTTCAAAAATAAGTGAGGTCATTAAACTATGTGTCAAAGATGTATATCATGTGATAAAATAAATACAGCACCCCTTCAGATAGTAACAATCTCCTAGGCATGCAACTCATAATAAAATAACCTAATCATTTCTCAACAACTCTTCTGGACCACTACTTCTGACTGTTTTGTTAGGGGTAAAACACCCACGAAACCAACACACAACCACAAAAAAACCCCCAAAACACCCACTTCAGAGCATCATGGCTTTAAGTTTACTAAAATTAGCTGAACTTGCGATTTTCAGCACTGTTATTAACACAAAGTACACTGTGGTGTGAAATCAGGTGAAATATCAAAGCTTTTTTTTCCTCCAGAACACAACAGTAATAGAAACATTGGAGTATTACATAACCTAAGCACAAAATAACTCGTAATCATGTTATGGTTAAATTTATTTCTGTAAAGCAACTTTAATCCTTCAAGCTTTACGTGTCATGAAATTAATGAAATCCGCAATAAGGAGGTTATGTAGTAAGTTTAAGACTTAAAAGTGGTAACAATCAAGGGTTTACAGGCCAGTCCCTATGGACAACTTCTAGCCACGTAGTATTAACGTATTTACTACATAACGTTGGGGGGGGTCAGAGGATGGAATGCATCAATTTAATTGGAAAGGGTGTTCTGGTGATTTGCACTTGTCATTACAGATTTCACAAGTTTTAACACAATTTAAGTCATTCCTGAGCTAATCTTTATCTGCAGGTACGCTGTGAAACACATGCCCCATTCCTAAACAGGAGACTACAGCAGGCATGCATCTTAGACTAGGCTGTGCTTAAGCACTCCTCTGTCCTCGTATTCAGTACTTTGTTTCATAGTTTTACTATAATCCGCATTTGCAGCAGTTACTTTTAACCTCTGGTTTGCTAAATTATGAAAAAGGTACAACAGAATTACACCATTTTTGCAGTCTAGTCTTTTCCAGTTTAGCTATATTAATCACAATGTATTGGTGCCTCTGATTTTACTCTTGAAAAACACAGCAAAGCAACATTTGATGACAAGAAGGAGCTTTCTCTTTAGAGGTACCCTATATTTCTCACCACAATCCAAATGAATAAGCACAAAGATTACCAAACCTTGGCTCTCCCTAAAGGCAGCCATGTACATAGAAAAGGAATTTGTTGTTGAGACCAGAACTACCTTTGCTGCCGTCTGCAGATACCTAAAATTTGTGATTCAGTTTCTCGTTACAACGAGCAGCCAGATACTGCATTTTTTTTTAAATATTTGTATTAAAACCTGTTTTGTGCTTGTAGCTGTACAAAATCTAACAGCTGTTTCCAAGAATTTATGCCGTAATTACTACAGTAACTATTTGCCTACTGGCAGCAACATTTTGACCATCAACCTAAGCAGGCAAAATAATCTGCTCTCATTAACTGTCATCAGCCAGCTACACTGCTCAGAGCCTTCTGTGTGTCCTTGTCCATTTAAATTGGCTTTTTGGTGATGAATTCTGGAGCATTGTTCTATGTAGCTGGCTAGATTTCAGATATTTTAAATCAATCCACCTAAGACAGATGGAAGTGGTTGTTTGGGGTTTGGTGATTTTTTTTTTTCTTTTTAAAGCTAACTCTGTCCCTAGGGGAGCATAGTCACACTGTGTCCTTAACACTGCTGGGTAAAGAGAGTTAGGGTCAAGTCCATGAACCTTTGAAAATTTCATTCCTCAAGACAGACTTCTGTCCTTCAGCCATCGTTACGTAAGGACCATCCCACTAATTGCAGTGCAGGTGGGTACACTGACATCAATAGAAGCTTGAAATTTATTAGTAAATACTTAAATGAACTTAAGGACTTCATTTTTAAAGAACACAAAGAAAAAGTTACTGAAGACAAGCTTAAACCACTAAATTACTAGAGCAACACAGCTACATTCTGACTCCTTTAAAATAACAAAGAGTAATATCCAGACCTTTCTGAAGAAAACCTACCAGGATTTAGGAAAACAGGTTCTGGTTCTCCTTTGTTTCCATAGTAGCAAATTACATCTCCTTTGGTGGTACTGAAAAATATAAATAAGAATTTCTCCTTGAAAACCCATCAGCTTCTATATTTGATTACGCTCTAATTTCATGCAATCTTCAAACACAGCAAGACGTTTCTCCCACTGTTACTACTATGATACCACAGCCCAGAGATTAATTGATGAGTTCTATTACACTCCCCCTCTCAAAATACTGTATTAGCTGTACCACTGTCAAATAGCACCATTATCATTTTTAAATACAACTATAATAAAATTCAGTAAAAACCCAGAACTGCTGGGTTACTGGAAAGTAGCGAGGATTAGTGACAAAAATCTGTATGGTTTTGAATAATGAGATTTAGTTACTTGGGGGAAGGGGGCACGTTAGAACAAAAGGACAGTCCATCACAGCAAGTAATGTTTTCCCATCATCTCTTCTGAATCGCTACCGCATCCTAAGAGGATGACTGCTGTGGGCTGTTTTATCTGGCAGAAGTAAATTTTTAGGCCCGCTTACGGCAATGTTGTAGGGCCTAGCTGGGTCCTTTAAGTGACCGATACGCATTTTCAGGCTGTTTTCAGATAACTGTAGTTACTATTTGTAAGCTCGCTCTCTAATCGTAGGTACTGGCTTCAGCGCTCGTTCTCTCTTGCGCGCAGTTTAGCGGGGGGAATCCCACGTAACGTTCAAGGACAGCTTCCAACATTGCAAAAAGCTCGCACTTGGCAGAGATGGTATCAGCATATCCAAACAGCACACATTTTTAAGTAGTCATACGGATATTGACAACACAAATACCAAATCAAGTGATTAAAAAAAAAAAAAGTTAAGGGAGTCATCAATAAGCCTTGTGTGCCTTGTGGGGAATGGACTGCTGTTGATGGCTCACTCGCAACACCCCTCAATCCATCAGCTGACATGAAATAGCGATTCCTCAGACTGCTACCAGTTGGTGGGGTTTGGTTTTTTTTCTTGGTTTGGGGTTTTCTGGGGTTTGTTTTGTTTAGTTTGCCAGGACACAGCCATGAGATCATATAATCCTGTATTTCGCTCTAGTGATTTACTTGTTCACAGCGGAAGAGAGTACTATTCTGGTTACCAACAAATACATTCTGACTAGTTCAGATTTTAATTTGTCCCCCAAGCTCTAGGCTCTTTAAACAGCAAATGGACTTTTTGAATTTAAAAAAAAAAACAAACCAAAAAAACAAAACACAAACCAACAAAAAACCACCAAGCACACACAAAACTTGCAGTTAAGATTGAATTTAGATTGAGTAGCCTAAAACTTAATACAGTAGAAAAGCCATTTCCAGCTCCTCATTTTTTCCTAGGATAAAAAGACATATCTGTGCCTTGATGCAAATTAGAGTATATAGAATGAAATCTCATTAATGATGTACTGGAAGTTAAATTGCTCTGCATAAGTTAGCATCCGCTACTCAAACCTTAATAACAAGTAAACCAGTCCTGATTTAGCTGTTTATATTCTTCTTAAAAAGCCGTTCTGAAAGACATTCTGCAGCATCATTTGCAAGACAGCCAAACGAAGAGGGAAATATGAACTTATTAATTATACAAGTCAGAAGAGGCAAGAGGAGGAATAAAAAAACCCCACTACACAAACCAAAAATAAAACTGCCTTTCCTCCTCTGTGCACTATTCTTCCTCATCCCAAACTCATAAGAGTTTTCTGGTGCCTTACAGAAAGATGTCCAAGTTTTTCAGCATAGTTAGAAGACAGTAATTATAGCGGGTGGTATTTGTGTATTGTTGCTTTTATTGTTAAATATCATCTAAGAAGCTCTGAGTTATTTGATTTACAATTTTTCTACTGTTAATAGAAGTGTAGCATTTTCTGAACTTTCCTCTAGTGGCTTAAGAGACACGTATTTTCTTTACCTTTGTTTTTCTTTTCACCATTAAGATCCTTGTTCAAATTTACCTTATGCTGATCTCAGGACTCCTCACGGACCACCCCAGCTCTCCACAGACAGCAGCCCACATCAGAACCGTGACAACTAGCTTGCTTTAGTTTCAGCAGGACACTGGATATCCATCACTCCTTTCCTGTTCTGGCCCCAATTCTTACACACTGAAGATTTTTACTAGGCTCTGCTAGAGTTCTCATATGAACGTATTACCTGTGATTCGGTAAAAATATTCTCATCCATCAATGAAAAATAAAAAAGTACGTTAGTGAAAAGGCCATTTGTTTCTTTACCCCATTTGGACTATTTGCATTGGGAATACCTAGACAGTCCCTAACAAAAGCAGCTGAAACAAAGTAGAATGAAAGCACAAGATATGACTAGAATTTTCTTTCCTTAATTTCTTGAGATGCAAATTTCTGTTCCACTACCACAGATTAACTTGCATATGTGACCCATTTATGGAATCTGTTAGAAGAGTTGTATTTTCTTAATCACAGACAAAAGGGGGTTTAAATTATTATTTTTAAACACACTGAGGCAGTGAAATATAGCAGTTTTGATGAATATGAGAAAGTGCTGATGAAAAATACAAGTGGAAGAAAAAAAAATTCTATGAACAACAACCTGAACTTCCCTTCTATTTCTTGAGACTCCTTCAGGTACAAACAAGCTCTGAAAAAGTTACACTGAAAAAAAGGTATAGTTTGTTCATGAGCAGGTTAACACAGCAATCAAAACAGCAGCTGTTTCACTGGACACACAACATTTTCTTTGTTGAATAAGCTTAAGTATTAGAAATAAATTATTGGAAGAGTGGAAAAATCTCTAATGAAATATTGACCTATTATACTGGTTCCGCAAACTTTTTCGCCAGTATACTTGTCTGCAGAAATATTTGTATGAGGAAAAAATGAGCAAAAGGTGTATTTCCTGAAACTATTTTTACAGTCATGCTGTATACAATTAGAAGTCTGACTCTTTTTCCTATTACTAGCTCCTTCGGTTAAATTACTAAGATACTTTGCTTTTAAACTAGATGGACACTATTACAAATTCTCTAAAATTCCAAATATAAGACTCCCATACATTCTTCCCTCAACTGGATTCTGCCAGGTCTTCAAGGAGACACAAAAACTTCAGGTAGCCAGAGAAGTTAAGCCATACTTTATTTGGCTGCAAATACTAAGCTACATATCCGAGATGCCTGGGACTTTACAGGAGTGAAAAAAGGAATGAAGTTCAAAGGATCAACTAACCTTCTATGAGGAGATCTGGGTGTATGAGTTCAGTTATTCAAAAACTGAAACCTTTGAAAACAGGATGATGTTAATCATCTCGCTCAAAGCACGTTATGGCCCTTGCAAAGCCTTACATAAACAAAGTCTAGACCCAGGCTGAAAACTGAATGGAAGTTATACTTAATGTTCTCAAGTCCTTGTTTATTAATGTTTGGTTAGGACCAGCTGGCCATTTTAGCAATGTCGGGTCTTTCCTCCCTTCAGCATTCTTTACATTATTTTTATGGCCAGTTAGTGGTTAGCATAAAGTGATGTTAACGTGTATGATGCATGTCTATCCCACCTGGGGTAAGACACCTTCCTGCAAGCCTATTTCTGATCGGCACATTTAGAGTTGGCACGCAGTTAGTACTTATACTAGAAAGAATCCCTTGACAGCTAAAAAAGGAGAGCATTGAGCTGAGCTGTCATTAATAAACCAGTCTGACTTCTTGGTCCCAGTCACATGCTAGGACACAAGAAGTCATATGCTCATAAGAGTACACTGGCACATTGCATTTTCCATGAACAGGGCCATAGAAAAAAGCAATGTGCAAGTGAAGTGTAAAATTGCTGAATTGGTGTGTTTCATGGAGTAAACTATTTGTATTGTATCTCAAAAGCAAGAAGTAGTACTTTGAAAAGTACCTCGAATACTGTGTCCAGTTTTGGGCCCCTCAGCACAAGGAGGACATTGGGGTGCTGGAGCGTGTCCAGAGAAGGGCAGCGGAGCTGGGGCAGGGTCTGGAGCACAGGGCTGGTGGGGAGCGGCTGAGGGAGCTGGGGGTGTTCAGCCTGGAGAAGAGGAGGCTGAGGGGAGACCTGATCGCTCTGCAGCTCCTGGCAGGAGGGGGCAGGGAGGGGGTGTTGGGCTCTTCTCCCACGGAGTTAGCGATAGGACGAGAGGAAATGGGCTCAAGCTGCGCCAGGGGAGGTTTAGGTTGGAAATTAGGAAAAATTTCTTCACAGAAAGGGTGATCAAGCATTGGAACAGGCTGCCCAGAGAGGTGGGGGAGTCCCCATCCCTGGAGGGGTTCAACAAACGGGCAGAGGTGGCACTTTGGGACATGGTTTAGTGGGCATGGTGGTGTTGGGTTGACAGTTGGACTGATGATCTTAGAGATCCTTTCCAGCCTTAATGATTCCTAGTTTTTACTTTCATTAAAAAATAATCCAGCCACCAAGCCAGGAAACATGAAATTATTACTCTCCCCTTAATTGGTTTAGTGGTGGACTTGGCAGTGTTAGGTTAATGGTTGGACTGGATTATCTTAAAAGTCTTTTCCAACCTAAATGATTCTATAATCCATAAATAAAATGCAGTTGGAATTAATACAATACAGACAATGACTAAGCACAGGGAGAACAACACCAAAGTTTAAAAAAAAAAAAAAACCAGGAAAAAAAAAGTTGGCTGCTAATGACCTATTTTAACATTAACACCCGGGGTATTAAAAAATTAAAACTACAGTAGCAATTATAAATATACTACAAGCATTTTATGTATTAAGCAAATAACGCAAAATCATCAAGGTCATTATAGGTCTTTTTTCAGTTAAGACACCAGCAATTACACAAACTATTTTGTTGGTGCATTAAAGACTCTCTTTTCAAATTGTCTGACCTGTATCTGCTGTAGAAGGTCTATGAAGAGAAGAGATCAGAGCAATTGTCATCACCTGAGGTCTCAAAAGACAGAGTTTTAGATGGAAAGGTAGACAAATGGCCCAAGCAAGCCCTTGAACACAGCTGTAAGACAAATCCTGTCATAAATGAGACCATATGCTGAATAAGTAGGCACTACTGACTTCCTTTATCAATGGCTTTTTATGTGAGAGAATATTATCATCTAGCATCTGTTCTGAGATCCTCGTGACTGAGAAATTCAGTAACAAGATCCCCTGGAGTTTAACAAAAAGATGGGGAATACATACAAACTGCAGGGTCACTAATTCAGGACATCTGTACCTTATTGTTTCTACATTCCACATTCCCCCAGATTTGTGTTTTCTATTACACCTACCTCCACTGTAACACCACTGCTGTCTTCTGTCAAAAGAAGACTGAAGCCTTCCAAGTGACTTCTGAAATGGGGATACTTCCAAAATCTAGTTCAGTGTGCCAGTCAGCTACTCTTTCTTTTATCATTTGGCTCTGCCTGTTCTCTTCCTACTGTTTACAGATACTCAGTACTGAACATAAAGGCAGAAGCCAAGATGAAAAAAAAAAAAAAAAAAATAGAAAAAAAAAAGGCAAAAACAAAAAAAAAAAAAAAAAAAAAAAAAAAAAAAAAAAAATATCACTGTAAGCTTGATCACAGCAATAGCCTCAAAATCCTGGCCTGGACTCAGAT